GTCTCCGTGCTGCCGCGGGCGCTTCGGGCCCGCCGCGCTGGGCGCCAGCTCCCACGCCAGTCAGATAAACCGAGGCAAAATCCGTCCGTCCTTTCAGACCGTTACCCTTGAGCCAGGGCAAGGAGCGGTCTCACGCTCAGCACCGTCAAATCCTCGTTAAACCGAGCGGCTCCTGCTGTTGTCAAACCAAAGTTCACAAACCCCCATGCTACCCGTGGGCTCTTCTGCGTTGCAAAGCCCAAGCACCAGAAAAGTACAAGGCCCGTTTTTTTCCAAAATGATTATTTTAATGAATTGACACTTTCCAGACGTACCCATCTTGCCCCTCTGTAGGCCAAAGGTTAAACGCGTTAAAGGGGAGAGAGGCGTGCTGCAGAAAACGATTCCCACAGCAGGCTATAACCATTTCTTGCATTACAACAGCAAAAACATTGAAGAAAATATTTCAGTAAAGATTTCTACTTAGTAACAATCTATAATTCTATTGCATCAGGAAACAGACCAGAATAAGCACTGTTGATATGTGAAAGTCACAGCATAGACGTGTTTCACTTTAACATGTACTTTTACAACCGCAGCACAAAATCTATTACCTGCCCATCACTTCATGTCCAATGGAGCACACTTCAGGCACTCCCTGAAGCTTTGAAAAAGCTATTTAAAATAGTAAAGAGGACTTTTTTTTTTTTCAAGAGGAAAAAAACAGGTTTTGCAAACTGAAAATTTTAATCCATTAAAAATAGTTTAAAAAAATTGAGGATTGACTTTACCAAAGTAGGACAAAGGACTAACTAGCAACCAGTCGAAGAATTTGGTTCCGTAAGTACGTGCACAGCTGGTTCATCAAGTCTCTGTTCTGTCCTTCAACCCAGTGCATTTCTACTAACAAATCATTTCCTTCTTTTTTCACATTCATTAAACACTTAAAGAGAAAACATCTACTAGCTTCTTTGGGACTTTGTTCTTTTTCACCTGCCAAATTGCTAGCTTCCTCTGAAGGGCAAGCTTCTTCCTTTGCATTACTGGAACCTCTGCCAAGTGATGTTTCTCCCTGCTTCGTTTCTGTCTCCACCTCCTCCTCCTCCTCCTCCACATGCTCACTGTGTTGTTGTTTGGCAGCAGATTCTTCCGTGAGCTCGTCACCTGCGGTCAAGTGGACATCCTCATCAGGTGCCATAAACCCCATTTCAGAGTCTTCAGTCTTGGGGTTTTCACAGTCCAAATTGTTGCTCACACTCTTCTGGCTGTTTTTTCCCTCTTCCATTGCTTGCAGAGTATCTTCAGAAGCTCGAGGAAGTTCTCGTAATTGCCTTGTTCTCTCTCGTTTCTTTCTCCTCAAATGAATCCAGGAGTTTTCAACGGCAGTCACAAACAGGCTAACTTCATCTTTTCCACAGGGAACATGTTTATGCTGAACCTGTTGCAGAAAACAGCACAACTTTATACTATCCTCTCACGGTTACACTTTCAAGTAGGATGTTGTTTGAACACATAATACTTCATACTGTACCTTCAGATCAGTGAGAATCTTCTCTACCCAGGCTCTAACCACAGCAATAGCCTCTACAGCATCCCAGCCCATAGCTGCAGCTTTGATGGATAACTCTTTGACTGTAGAAGCCAAGACTATAAATGTAATTGGTTTTCGTGGTTTTTCTAATTTTCTTCTTTTAGAGGGAGGTGACTAGAAGAAGAAAGAAAAAAAAATTAAAATGCTATGCAGAATTAGTGGGACGACTTTTGTACTTTGACGAAACGAGGATTAAGAGTACAACGTAAGCCACTAAACAGTCATTGGCGTGGCCTGAATTTCACTTCACTCCAGAGAGTTTCAGATTAAAAACAGCTAACAGGATCACACACTTTATGCCAGCCTGATGGACAGAGGGAGTTTATCTTCAGATGTTGGGCAAAAAGCTTCACTGGTTCCTTCAAACTATTAGCTCTCTGTGAGCTGAGAAAGTGCAGCTGTTCTTGGGAGCAGAGGTCAAGTGCCAATATCCACATTTTGATCCAAGTTCACTGAAGGTTTACCTGCATCTTCTGTAAGGTTGGTTCTTGTCTACACCTATCTTAGAGTACATGTACATCTGTATCCAAAAAAGCGACCACCTCACATTAGTTCAGGTGAACGAGCTCCACTTACGCTTGTGTTGACAAGTCTCAGCTAGACACGTTCACATCTATTACCAACAGAATCTATTTGGTAAATTAAAACCAAGTTCTCAGAGGGAAGCTTAAAGTTCAAATCTAGCCCCAAACTTAGCACATTTTTTCTGCACATCACTGTCATGGTTTGATGTGGAGGGGGGGGTGGTTCTGGTGGCAGGAGAGGGGTTTTGCTCCCTGCAACCTCCCCAGTTTTGGAACCGGGTCAGGCTTAGTTCTGGC